TTTTTGTTTGTTTGTTTGTTACCAAGCTTTGAGCTGGAAGTCGACATCAGATCTGCAGAACAGCTGCAGAAGCCTTCTTGGGCACATCATTGCAGATCTAATGCAACTTTTTTAAATGCTCAAACTTGAAACACTTCTTCAGGGAACTGATTTCATTCCAATTGACTTTGATTCTTAAGTATCATTGGGACAGATTTTCATGGTACTGCTGCTTTGACTTTAGCACTAAGAAAAAACCAGTATTATCAGAGTTATTATAAACAACATTTTCAGCAAACTTTAAAAAAATTTTTTTCATAGAGCCAGACTTAATTTTTCAGATACTAAAAGATAGAAATGCGCAGCTGGGAACCTTTCAAAATCTAGTCATTAATTAATAAAAGCTTATATAAAAGAGTAAAGGGGAATTGATCAGACCTTAGGGTTGATCTTCAGTATGTTCTATCCATGATGTGTCTACAAGCCAAGCAATTGTAATAAAAACTGTTTGTTAATATGCAAGAACATGTTAACAGTGCACCTGCTTTCTCTTAATGAGGATTTTAGTTCATTTTAGGAAAAAGCTAGCATGTGATAAGAATACTTCCTTCCTGAATAAAAGATGAACGCGCTCTTGTTTACAAACTGCTAGCTAATATTGAGCTACTCATTTTGTGAAAATAGTTCAGGTACATCTAAGTGCTCTAATTGTAAGTACCTTTCAGCTGAGTCCAGGGCAGTTGCAAAACTAGGGTTTTACTGTTGTGCATTACGGTGGCTGTGACAGGCTGCAAAAAGTTATCAAGATCCTTTAAGTGCCTGCATATTTATTTGCACACAAATAATACTGCAAGCTCTGATTTGGGTCTTATTGCAAGTAGACTCTTTTGGGGTTTTCATAGGGACCTAATGTGCCTCTATGTTTAGAGTCATAGTAGACCTATTCTAAAGGTTCTCAGTTGAACTGTTGAATCAGTTGCTTTTGACTTAAGGTGCAAGTGGTTCTCCCCTATAGCAGTGGCCTTCTTGCCTGTGAGCCTTCATGGTTGAGAGAGAGACCAGGAGTAGCCACTTCTGAATGTACTTTGCTCCTGACTCAAATTGCTGCATCAGTCCCCTTGCTAGAACTCCATTAGTCTTAGACTGGCAACCATTTGAAGGCAGGTGTACTAATTCTTTTTGTGTGTATCATTTGATAGTATGGGGCAGCAGAACTGGAAAAGCTGAAGGGTGACCTAGAACTGCAAAACAGTTGTTCAGTCATGTACCATTATGGTTTCCTTTGTCTAAAAACTTGTTTACTCATTTTAACAACTTGTTGGGCTGCATCGGTTAACACAGACCAACCTGCACCTTGGGTCTTGCCATAGATCAAACATGAGCTCCAATATAACCCTAATTGTGTGGTGATGACTTTTTCCTGGTGCAAGCAGTAGTGGGAGCTGCCCCCCCCCCAGTAGCTGTGCCTCCATCCCATGCCCCTCCCTGCCCTGGTTGGGCAGCGCCTGCTCCTGCCCCTTCCCTCGCTGTGTTGATCTGCATCTCCTTCAGACTTACCAGCTGGAGGCATCTCTCCACACTGCCAGTTCTCCTCCATGCTGCACTGTGGCTGCGCATAGCACGGAAACTTATCTGCCAAATTATCAGCCCCATCGGGCTGATGAACAATTTTCTTTATATTGGACCGATGTATCAGTGTATCTCTAGTTGTGCTCCATCCCCCTCCCATCCAGCAGCAGGAGATGCAACTTGGGCAGGCAGGCGGTATGTATGGCTAGCACAGGGCGTCTGGGGTAAAAGGCAGTAGGGTGGAGAGTCCTGAGCCTACAGTAGGCAGCCTGCCTCTACCCCATGCACATCTGGGGGGGGGCACATGCCTCCCACACCTCCCCAGGGTGCACAGCAGTAGGGAGCTTCTGTACCCCCTGAATGAGCTGCCTGCAGCTCTTTCCTGCTCCCTGCCCCAGCCCCAGGTTCCCATTCATTACCCTGGCTGGGCAGTGCCCACACTCCCTCCCTCACTCACTTGAGGGGGCCTCTATCCCCCATGCCCCTTCCTCTCCACAGATTTACTGCAGGGCACTGCTCTCCACACTGCCCAGCTATATTCCTGGCTGTGTACATGCACACAGGATCTGTGGGCCCTGGCCAGAATGCATAGTTATCAGTACATTATCGGTTACACTGGCCAAAAAAAAAAGCTGATGGGTAATAATGTTAATTTTACTCTTTTGGTGTTGATCTGAGATGACACCAATATATCAATGCACCTCTAGTAAGGAAGTATGACTTCATGGTATGCTTCTCTAGAATAGCTTATTCATAACTTAGTTCAGTTTCAAACATGACCCCTGGAGCTGGGTCATTTAGCCTGTGGCCTTGTGCATGACTCTTGCCACCATGCCAGAGCTTCTACCTGGGGCTGCCTCCACAAGTTGGTGTCTTGCAGACACCTGAAAAGCGGGGAATGCAGCCTTCCAACCAATTTTAAATTCAGTACCCCCTGGGTATTGCTAATCACTCAAACTCCTTCTCTAGTCTGTAGCTGAGGTCCAACTTTGTAAATACAGGACAATATTACCATGTCTTAAAGCGGTGAAGTTCTTATCTAAGCTGTAAAGTGACTGACATTGCAGTAGGATACTGTTTTAGATCTTGCCCTTGCCTATCAGGCACTCGATATTGGATGTGGAGTAGTGGTGGGAAGTCTCCCTCCACTGTCCCTTGGTTTGTGGCTTTATCTTGTTATGGCTGTCTTTAGTATGACCTTAAATTAATGCCACATATGCTAAATGGATCAGCAGTTCATGGGGTGGAGCAGGAAATCTGAAAACAAGGAGGAAGAGGTAGTTGGTAAACAAAAAAAAAATGGTGCCTGTGTGAAATTTGATGTTTGGAAGGCTGTACCTTCAAATGCTTGGATTCTTCTCAGCCTGGAACTCTGAATCCTGGGAAACAGATTCATCAAGCACATGCATAAAGAATATATGATTTGAGTTGAATGATCTTCTGGTTAGATGACAAGTTGTCTGGTCCTTTTTATTATGGAAGCAATTTTTTTTTTTAAATGGCAGCCTAAACTTTAATATTATGATCTCTTTATAGAGAACTTCTAAGTGCATCTGTTGAATCTGAGAGAATAGTCACCCCCTTCCCTCCCTCAACTCTCTCAACGCTAGTGGAAATTCTAGTGCTGTGCAGCTATATATATAGCATTTTACTTTTGTGTGAATGCTATTGTATTGACTTGTTTAGCTGAGGAATTTTTTAATGGTTCTTGATGTTAAGTGTAGCTGCAGAAAGATGCCCTGTTTCCCTGCTTTGTGTGTTTTGAACTGACTTCCCAACCCAGTCTGAAATGTTGCTTTTTACATGACTGTCACTACTAGTTTTGCATTAGATGTCACTTCCTTTTTTTTATGCTATCAAACTCTGACACAAACCATGAAGGACCAGTTAAACATGCATCTTTCTGCTACTGTAATGTTCAGCATTGTAGGGTTAAATTGAATTTATTGTTATAGAAATGTTAGTCTGTTTAGCATTTTGTTCTTATAAACCTTACTCTTCAGTGGGATGCTTTATCTCCTGTAGTGGTATGGATCTTGCATTGATCATTTTGTAGTAAGACTACAATGTAATCAGTCAGCTTGAGACTTGACCCTGACTTAGTTTTGCTACTGCTGCTGATACCTGATCTTCATTCTTCTTTACATTGTAGCTTAATTAAAACAAATGAAATGGTATCTGTGATCCTTTCCTTGTGTAAAAATCTAAGAACATGAGGCTGTCTAAAATTCCTTAATGGAATATAGGAAAACCTGTTAACTAACAAAAGATCAATATTGCAATAGTAACACTTCAAATTTGGCATGCTGTTAAAAGCAAAATAGCTTTTAAAAGTGATCTGCTTTAGTTAACGTACTTGAGTTTTCAGATGTGACTTCTTAATATCGCCGATTCCAAAAATATAAATGCATTAGTGTAGTAGTAACTGGAAATCCTGTGCTTTACACTTTTTACAAGTTGGGAGCCCTTTCATTAACTCGGTTGCAACCCAATGCTTTGGATCACAAGGGTTAGGGTAAGGAAATCACAACTGAGAAATGAATGTGCCTTGTGGCATTACCCAAATTTACACCAGACTCATGGGCTTAAAAAAAGAAAACAAATCTGGCAGTAGCAAGCATGTCTCTATCTGAATGGGAAGCTTGAGTAATATGGGATACTGACAACTACTTTCTGTTATCTGTGATAAAAACAAACTAGCCAGTGACTGGTTACCTGCAGAACAGTTGTACAACACCCATTTGAACACTTGTTTGCCTTCTTTTTGAAATTCTGCACTTAAGGACCAGTTTAAAATGGACAGTAAAATTTGACAGTTTCAAGTTTCTTTTTTACTTCAAAAAATAAAGCTTTCTATTCTATACTGGCCAGGAATGTGGTACTGATCTAAGCCAGGAGTTTACTCAAGCTTCTGGCTTGAATCCTAAATCTTATTACACTTTTCATCCTTTATCAGCTGTCATCCACTACAGTTTCATACACTTGTCTTCAAATATGAAGCAACAAGACTAATAGCAGAATGTGGCCTTTTTATTTTTTGTTACCTTTATTTTTGTTCATGTTCATACAATTAGTATGAACATGGATCTTAAACTTTTGGTAAACTGGATAAACATGCCTATTACACAGTAACATCAATTTCCTCAGTTACCTGACAGTTCCAGTGTATTAAGTAAAATAAAAATGAATAAAACAACATTACATGCAACCATATATTTTATCGATATACAGCACTGAATCTTTATACCAATGTTTTTGAACAATTTTTCTCTGGTACCATTTAAGCAGAAGTCAAAAGAATTGAATAGTGAACATGTGGGATCACTGATTCACTAACAAAAACAATGTTGTAAACGTTTTGGATCAAACTTTGGCAGTCTGTTGGTATGAGAGATGAGTTTGTCTCATCTAAATCTTAAGTGGTGTATAACATCCATCTTTCTCTCTTGCAGTGACTATTTATTCAAGCTACTTCTGATTGGAGACTCCGGTGTTGGGAAATCTTGCCTTCTGCTTAGGTTTGCCGTAAGTTCAGTTCTGCTGCCAAAATTTATGCCTTAACGACTGCTTAAAACCAGTTTAATTCCATTGAGTACTGCTATATGACTTAACTAGAGCTTGTATGGGGGAGAGAGGGGAAGGGGCTTGGGGTACTCTGTTTATTCCTAATAGCATGTCTCCACCTGACAGTAAAGGAATAAAGTCATGATATCAATTTATGTATTGCTCTTAACCATGAATAAGTCATAACTTCAAGTGTAACTTGAATTGAGCAAAGAGCTGTTGCTTTGATAAGTGTGTGGGGCTTCTGTCTGTGTAGGTATTTAAATTACTTAATACCTGTGCTCTGACCGGCATTTCACTATTTACCTAATGTGCAAAAGTGCTTATAATAACTTTGTCCAAAGTCTTTAAAATGCAACAATTTAGAAGTCAAGGAAAATTTTTGCAAATATTTTCGAATTCCAGGTTGCATACACTGGAATAACAGTTGAACACTACCTTCAGTTTTGTTCAGTGTAGATTGTATATTTTTGTCAGTGTTTAAAATGTATGATCTCAAAGACTGAAATGCAATTATTAGTGCCTCTTTAAAAAAATCAGTACTTCCTTAAAAAATAAACAGAGGTAGCTGTACTCCTGTTCTAGAAGAAAATCTAGACTCGGACTTAAAAAAGTTTGTTTGAACTTGTAGCAGTGCTGTGAAATGGCAGACTAGTAATAATTCAATAAAACAGATGGGACCTGGGGTTCAGGAGGGCCTTCTATATGCCCTTTGCAAAATGTGACCTCGCCTGCTAAAAACTGGTGACTTTTCTTGACTCTAGCCTGAACAAATAGACATGTGCTTGGGCAGAGCACACCTTGGTGACAGCATAATGTAAACTTTTCTGGATGGTGACATGATGAGAAGCTCATCCATACATACAGCCAGCAGTTGCTGAGTCATTGTACAAATACTTGACTCTTTCTGCCCCTAACATTGCTGAGGAAAAAGGACTCCTGTAAAGTAAATATCACTTCAGTGATTTGACCTGCACCTGTGCAATGCATTTCTGAGGTTCCCTTCCATGCCAAGGACTGATATGGGTCGTGTAGTGCAATAAACAGCCAGGTGTTTGCCTGACCTGATCCCCAAGCCTTGAGTGCTTCTGACTAACTTGGTTGGTGTTGGGACAAGCCAAAGAACCACCCAATAGAAGTAAATCTTCCATTTAATAGGAAGAACATGGCAATTGCCACAATCTAGGAAACTAGCTCTGTGCCAAGGGGCTTGTAATTCTCCACTATACTCTTGCTGTAAGCCTAAAGCCATTCATTGGGTTCATGTCTGTATTGATGCCAAAATACTTAATTCTAAAGACTGTCACCAGCTATGCTTTGCATATATAGATCTACACATTGCTCATTTATGCAGCCTATTAAAGCTACAAAAATCAACTTGTGCACAAAGCTGAAGCTCCATGGTAATGATACCAGTCAAGTAAAATAATGTTAAGGCTGCAGCAGTAGGATTGTTGCAATTCGTTTTCCTCTAGGAGTAATGTAGTCCTTTTGAGTTTACTTGACATTTTGTTCTGAATTTTTACTTCATGCCTGCTTATAAATAGTCAGTGCTCAGAACAAGAGAATGAAATCAACTATATTGGAATCGAATGTGTATCTGCTGTAAAACTTTGGCTTTAAACTTAAATGTTGGCAACTTTGCATCTGGGATGATAGGCCAAGCAGCATTGGAATAACTAATTTTAAGTAAAATCTAGTCATTACAATGCATAATTGGCACTTTTTGCATATCTTCTGTAGGCTAAAACAGACTTATTAATTAACTGATCATTTACCTGGCATAAATGCCCAAGTCTTAAAAGCAATTGGGACTTGTGGTAGGTGATATCTTTTATTAGACCCACAAGATTTTTGCAAAAAAAACCCCATCTTTTAATTGCAAGCTTTTGTTAGTGTAGTGTCATACCTAAAAGGAATAAGCTGGTGTATCTTCTAGTACAGTTGCCCCAACCTTTTCTGGCAGGTGTCCTACAAGTTAAGCTCTGCACTTCCAAAGTGTGTCCAATCTCCTTTCCTCTGCCCAGTCTGCTCTCCAGTTGCTCCCTGTTACCTCCCCCATTCATCACATGCTAAAACAGGCTGCCCAATTTGCTTGTGGCATATGTACCACAGCTTGGCTACTATAGAATACCATTGCTCTTTCCTTTAAGTTCTTCTGCACAGATGTTTGCTTCTTACATTCATCCTCAGTTCTAACTTGCTGTCTGGTTCCTTCCTTTCATGGCAGTTGTGGGTCAGTTGGCTTTTTGTTCTATAGCTCCAGTGCTGATAATGAAGATATGAATTGCTTAGCTCACTGAAATTCTCAGTGGATTGTATTGTTAAACTTCCAGTAGGATGCAATTTTCTCATCTGATTGCAGACCTGTATCACAGGAGCTAGGTGAAATAATAGCTGCATTTTTGTGAATTACCTCTTTTGACAACTTCATAGATTTCATGGACATTAGGACTGGAAGGGATCTTGAAAGATGATAGAGTCCAGCCCCCTGCCCAAAGGGCAGGAAGTCAGATGGGGTCATAGGATCCCAGCAAGATAAGCATCCAATTTTCTCTTGAAGGTGTTCAATGTAGGTGCTTAAACCACTTCTGATGGCAAGCTATTCTAGACCTTGGGGGCTCAGACAGTAAAGAAATTCTTCCTTATGGCCAGCCTGAAACAGTCTTGCAGTAGTTTATAACTGTTCAATCTTGTCATCCCTTGGGGCACTCTGAACAAACATTCCCCCAGATACTGGTGGTCACTCTTGATAAACTTATAGGTGGCCATCAGATCACCCCTAAGCCTGCGCTTTTCCAGGCAAAAAGGCCCCATGGCTCTCAGCCTCTCATCATAAGGTGTTTTCCTGACCTCTGATCATGCGCGTGACTCTTCTCTAGACTGTCTCAAGCTTCTCCACATTCTTCTTGAATTGTGGGGCCCAAAACTCGACACAGTACTCCAGCTGCGGCCTCACCAAGGCCGAGTACAAGGGGAGAATGATGTTCTGGGATTTGCTTGAGAAGCATCTACAGATGCAAGCCAGCGTTTTGGTCACTTTACTAGCCGTAGCATCGCATTGAAGGCTCATGTTCATCTTGTGGTCAATGATGACCCCCAAGTCTCTTTCTTCCGTAGTGCTAGCCAGTGTAGCACTGCTGAGCCTGTAAGGATGCTGCAGGTTTTTCTTCCCAAGGTGGAAAACCTTGCATTTTTCAACTGAAGACTTCTTGTGTATATCATTAAGTAATAATTCTCCTAACTTTAAAACTGTAGTTGGCTACTGTGTATGGTTGAAAAAAAAAAAGTCTTCATCAGTGACTTGATTGAGGGCATGGAGAGCACCCTTTCCAAGTTTACAGATGATACCAAATTATGGGGCAAGGTTGACACCAGAGGGTACAGAACAGATCCAGGCAGATCTGGACAGGTTGGAAAAATGGGCAGAGTGAAATAGGATGCAGCTCAAGAAGCTATGCCACTGTAATTACCTCTTAAAATAAATAAATAAATAAAAAAATTTAGGTCTTAACATTTTGTAGGTTGCTTTTTCAAAAGCTTCTAAATGACATCGTTAAAATGTGACTGTTAGTCAGTAGGATTGAGGATCCTTGTTAATTGCCCTATTGGACTACACAGCATAGCATAGTCCATGCCCCAAAACATAATGTTATAGAAGATGGTCAAATTAATGTATTTTGCTTGATTTGTATAGTTGCCCTACTTTCTTACAGGAGAGAATTTAAGATGTGCTGACTTCTGGTGATCATTAAATGCAGGGGGGGGGTTTTGTTTTGTTTTTTTGTTCTAGGATGACACGTACACAGAAAGCTACATCAGCACAATTGGTGTGGACTTTAAAATCAGAACTATAGAGTTAGATGGGAAAACTATCAAACTCCAAATAGTAAGTAGTCTGACTTGTCACTGTGTGGCCTGTCTGTTTTCTGACCAGTGGATGACCTCCTTTATTTTCATGTACACTTATTTGATTGTTAAACTAGGGTTTTATATATAAAACCTTGTTTTTGATAGGATTGTCTACTTGTGCATATTATAACACTTCTAGTATGCTCAGATGGTGTCCTTGAAGATGCTGGTCTTCAGACTTTCAGTCTACTTGGAGTTGGGGAATTGTAAATTTAGTCAAACTTCCATATCTTTTCCTTTTCCTATACTTCACTAAAGGACATGGATGTGTGCTAAATCCGAAGTGATCTCAAGACTCAAATGGCATGAAATCTGCAACACTAATGATATTTTTCTAATGCCCTAAACTCTGCGACCTATGCAAATAACAGTTATTATGAACTTTTGCAGACCTCTTTCATAGTGATGTTTTTAAATGCAGAACTAACCAAAGTGGTGATCCTGCTTCAACTTGCATCCAAGGCCTTGCAGAAAATTGAACTAGAACATCTATCTGAACATCTGAGTGTTTCTGGCTTGCATAGCTAGCATTAAATTCCCAATTATCAAGTCTTCCAGATATTAGAGTAATGTGAACACTTCATTTTGGCTTTTCACTTGCAGTAGGGGAAACCAGTTTAAGGGCTTAATGGTTCATGCTTGGTGCTTTGTCTTGCTCTTAGCACTTTAAAATTGGGTAACCTACATGTTATCCTAACTGCAAGTGAACTTGCAGTTCACTTGCTTATTACGTAACTCTTGGATAAATTTGCTTCCATACTGGACAGCACTGACAAATGTAGTGATATCAGACCTAACTAAATCTAGCAAAGCAATGCAAAAACCTTCTGGATGACATGGGTGAAATATAGGTTTCAGGCAAATCTATAACTTCCTTTCAGTTAACTTTCCCACTGAAAGGTTAAAATTTTAAACAAATTCTGATCTCCAGAAAAATTTTTAAATTAAACTTCAGTGTTCTGGGATTGTCAGGATTTAATTTCCCTGCACATGCTGATGACAAACTTCTGTTCTGGTCAGATTTGCATCTTTATGGTGCACGTGCCATGAGGTGCTAAGAGCTCCAGCCCAGCAAGTGTTAAGCCTAGAATTATATGAACCCTGTCTCCCACTCAAAATAAAAGTTCAAAATGGGCCAGCATCCTTTAAGTGCTTCCTTGGACTCAGTGGCAGCAAGCTTGGTATAATGAGGCTACCCTGGAAGCATAGACCCTATGGCTCCAAGAACCCCAGAAGGAACCAGTAGGGTATACATCAGAGGCATCTTTCTGTTTGATGAATGGCTGTCAAGTCAAAAGACTTGCTTATAAACAGTATCTGACAAATGAAGATGCCACAATAACATGTCTGTTTATGGGCATCTTTCTTTGGCTTAATACGTTCAGTCCTTGTATTTAATAAGTGTTAAATCTCCTCTTCAGGTCTTCTCCTAATGTTAGGTAGCTAAAAGTTACTCTACTCCCAAATGTGGCAACTTTTTAATGTCTAGAATGGTGCAAACTTTCCTGCCAGACAAAATCAGTCAAAACCTCTGTCAGCTTGGAATGTTTCAGGATTTCTATTGTTACAGAAAGTTAGCTTGTTCCTGAAACTGATCTGTGATTTTTTTTTTTTTGAGAATGTCCAAACAATGTTTGGATTCAGCCAAACAGATTGGCAAAAGGTCTCAACTTGCACATTTGGAAATGTCCTAAAGAACAGCTTTAACTGAGAAATGTTAAAACTGTCACTGGCCAGGTTCAAAGCAGGAAAATTCTGCTTTTGGTAAAACTGTTGTACTTTCAGAACTAACTAACGCCTTTGGCTGGGCTGCAAAAGTATGCTGCAGCCAGTTTTTATGCTTTTAGCAGTTGGTGTGAACTGCTTTGTGAAATTAGTGATAGACCGGTTCATCAGGTGCGTCCCTTCTACCTGATATTTTTTTCCCCCATGCTTGCTAGCTTTTTGTTTGGCTCCTTTTTGAGTAGAACTAATTCTCAGTGGAAAAAGACAGACAGACAAGTGTTGTAGACCAGGGTTTTTTTTCTTTCTCCATTGACATGTGTAATGATTTGCAGGAAGTTGTTGTGGGAGAGCCCAGATTATAGGGGTAACTTAGTGCATCATCCAAAACAATTGCACTCCATGTAAAGTGCATGAAATTTTGTCCTATAAAATGTAACTTTGGACTTTGCTGTGAACAGTTAGCATAGACTCTCACAAGTGCAGCTTGCAAGACAAGGGGGTGTTGCTCCTGTTACAATAGTAAGAGCAAAACTCAAACTTTGAGGAGGAAGTATAGCATCAGTTTGAGCAAAACCCAGCTTTTATGCGGAAGAATAACTTTATTAGAAACTCCCAAGTCAAACTGCTTGAAATTCAGTTTAGCCACTTAAGGAAGCAGTGCTTGGAACATTTTAAGGCATTTGACATAAGGAAATTACCCCTGCAATTGCAGGGGTAAAATAACACCATTGAAGTGTATCTGTAAGGGGCTTTCTAAAGTTCTAATAACTACTTGACTTGCCTAATTGCTATACAAAGGATAGCAGGTGTCTGAACTCATGACAAACTACATTCTGTTGCCTAAATCTTTTGTATTGGGGAGATAACTGAATACAGTCAACCCCTTCCCTGCTCTGAGGAGGAGAGCTTAGCTTTTACTGGGGGGCTTCTGCAGTCCTAAAGGAACTTTTTACCTGTATGGGTCTAGAACTTACTTGGCTTTGCCCCTCTTCTGTCATTGTGCTGCCAGTTAGTGCAGAACTAGGACTGTGCTATGTATCTAGATCTCCTATAAATTTTTCAGTGCAGAACGTGTGCCTATCTTATGGGGCGGGGCCCATCTTCAGTAGCCTAGCTGGCACAAAGGGGCTGCAGCAGAACTGTGACTGGCCAAAAGCATGTTAAGACCTACAGGGAAAGTAGACTTTTTGGCTTTTTGTTCCTAAAATGATGAACTCAAGAAAACCTAGTTAACTTGCATCTGTCTCTGGCATGCTCTTGTCCTGTTATGATAGAAAAAGGTCAAAGCTGACAAACTAATAGAAACTAATTCCAAATCAGTGTCCCAGAGGCAATCTACCCAAATACTACTTATTTCCTTTTTTTTGAGTCTGGATCAGGTCTAGAACTTCTTTCTAGATGTAATTGACATTGCAAGTTGTGATCTGTGGCCTGAAAGCCTTAAGCCAGCTTAAGGTGGCTTGTTTTAGTAGTCACTACTACCTTCACATTGGCCTGGGATAACCTGCCTTCCTTTAGTTATCCTTGTTTTCAGAGTCTGAAGAAAGCTGCCCAATTTGTCCCTTTATGCTAGCAAGGCAGTAGTTTGTAGTTTTGGTAGTAGGCCTGCAGAAAATGTTTAAGTAACTGGATTCTTTCCTTATGCTGAAGGAAATACTGTAGTGGTGTCAGTAACATGAAGCTCTAGAAATTAGACTAGGCTGTGCTCAGTTGCAGACAAAGTTGTATTTATAAAGGAAAATGGGGGTGGAAAAGAGTTCTTCAGCTTTTTTTCAGTGCTGTTACTTTTTTTTTTATATTTGATGGCAAGGTCCATGTGGTAATTATAGCTGCATCCTCAGTGTAACTTGCACTCTATTTGTAGTGGGACACAGCAGGGCAAGAGAGATTTCGAACCATCACTTCCAGTTACTACAGAGGAGCCCATGGCATCATAGTTGTGTATGATGTTACAGATCAGGTAAGTTCTAAACGACGCATTATTAAAGTGCTCTCTTAGCAGCTTGACCTACTGACCATACAAAGCCAGTTATCTTTTAGGCAGTGACTTTTTTTTTTATTTAGCTCTTGTACTGAAATACTTTGCGTTTGGCACTAGTATTTGGAGGAAGGACACCTTGTTATTGGGGGGGGGGGAAGAAAAAAGTGGATCCATCTCTTTCTATAATGCACCACTTGTTAGGCTTCAGTGCTTAAGTCTAGTTTTAACAGCTCACTCTTTTTGGGTGACTTGTGTCCATAGGGGAGGGATATGCAGTTAAAGGCAAGTTGCCTCTTTCAACAGAACTTAACGGGTTATTGAAACTTCTGCAGATGCCAGTGCATTAACAAGCTTCCATGAAAAGATAAATGGAAAAATGTAATTCCCTAGCTTAATGGAGGAATATATTTCCAAGGCCCACTTGCTCCTTTATGACATTAAGTTTCTTTGACCAAAAATTTCTGTGGTAAGACTTGATGTAACCTGCTACCAGAGTGATTGCTGTCACTGGGTATGTCGTCTGACTAGACATTTTATGAAATAGCCTTGTTGACTTGATAGATCTCCAGAATGTAACAGATGTATCTGGTCAAACCAATCTTGTAACAAGTTGATAGCTGCCCTTATTTGTTTGCTGTTCAAAGGTAAGGGTTAAAAAAAAAATCTCTGTTCTCATGACCTTTGAGGAGAGGGTAATGAAGATGGGCTGGAGCTCTGTAAGCTCAGTTCACAGCACAGGGAACGACTTTAGTAATTTTTCTAATTTGACTAACTGCTCCCCAGTCTTGTGTACAACTCTGTTGTCACCTAGGCAGAACTTCCTTTTAATGTCAGACTCCTGTAATAGAGGGCTTCCTCTTTTTCCAGTTTGGCATGTGGTCTGATTTGTATTTATTTATTCTTTAAGGGCAGTACATGAGCTGTTTCCCAACTGCTTGGTGCCCTACTACAGGAAGCCAGCGGGGTTGAACGTTTATTGGGGCCTGCCTTTGTCTGGAGGAAAACAGTGGAGTGCTGGGGATCTTTTCAAGACTTATTTTTGCAGTACCTGAAAGCCCTGGAATATGGGGGACAATGGTTAGGCCAGAAGAACTGGCGTGTGGCAGGGTTATTTATACTGAGGCATAGACTCCTTGTGTTGGAGTCCTAACAGCTGGAAGGCAAAATACAGGTGTTTGAATGGTTTGCATAGCATCCCTGGACATATAATGTACTTGCAATGCACTTGCCAAGATTTGAATGGTTCTAAATCATCAAAAGAAAGATAGTGCCCTTAATGTGATCCTTTTTTATCTTCTAGGAGTCCTTCAATAATGTAAAACAGTGGCTGCAAGAAATAGACCGTTATGCCAGTGAAAATGTAAACAAGTTGTTGGTAGGGAACAAATGTGATCTGACCACAAAGAAAGTAGTAGACTATACAACAGCAAAGGTATGTCGGCTAGATTAAAGGTCCAGCATGTAAATGTGCTTTTTGGGACATGCCACACTGGAGTCCATGCTACTTGCACACCTTGATGCTAATAGAAGCTATGCATGCGCCTTTTAAATGCAGACCCTAATGGTCCTCAAGGGCTGCCCAGGGCACACAATCAAATTGAGGGAGTGGGATGGCATGAAACCAGTAGCTCCTTTACACCTGTGTGGAAACTACATTGTATAGCTTTAAGCATGTTCTGAGCCTTCCAATGGAAGTACTAAAACTTTATTCACTTTCATTCACAGGAATTTGCAGATTCCCTTGGAATTCCATTTTTGGAAACCAGTGCAAAGAATGCAACAAACGTAGAACAGTCTTTCATGACCATGGCTGCGGAGATTAAAAAACGAATGGGTCCTGGAGCTACAGCTGGTGGTGCAGAGAAGTCCAATGTTAAAATTCAGAGCACTCCAGTCAAGCAGTCTAGTGGAGGTTGCTGCTAAAATCTGCCTCCCCCTTTTTGTCCCACAACAATGAATTTGCAATCTGAACCCAAGTGAAAAAAAATTGCCTGAATTGTACTGTATGTAGCTGCACTACAACAGATTCTTACCGTCTCCACAAAGGTCAGAGATTGTAAATGGTCAATACTGACTTTTTTTATTCCCTTGACTCAAGACAGCTAACTTCATTTTCAGAACTGTTTTAAACCTTTGTGTGCTGGTTTATAAATGTGTGTAATCCTTGTTGCTTTTCCTGATACCAGACTGTTTCCCGTGGTTGGTTAGAACGTATTTTTGTTTTGATGTTTATATTGGCATGTTTAGATGTCGGGTTTAGTCTTCTGAAGATGAAGTTCAGCCATTTTGTATCAAACAGCACAACAGTGTCTGTCACTTTCCATGCATAAAGTTTAGTAAGATGTTATATGTAAGATCTGATTTGCTAGTTCCTTGTAGAATTATAAATGGAAAGATCACACTATCTGATTAATAGTTTCTTCATACTCTGCATATAATTTGTGGCTGCAGACTATTGTAATTTGTTGCACAGTATGTAACAAACAACTGAAGAAATGTTTAATAAATATTGTACTTATTGGAAGTAATATCAAACTATGGTGATTAAATATTGTCTTAATTCTTATGGCTAAGGGGGAAACTAGGCTTGTATTGTGCCCAACCTAGATATGTGCAGCCATGGCAGTCCAAACCCTCAGACCAAACACCCTTCCCAGCAAATACGTACAAATGAAGACTTGTCAGGGTGTGTTAGGCATGTATACTGTACCTGGAACACAACATAAAACTAATATTCATGGGAGCGTAATGCATTCTGAATGTACAGTATTTTCCCTCCCTTGATCTCTGAACTTTAATTTATTTCTAAAGGACTTAATCTGGGAATTCTTGTCTACTTTGCTGTGTAGAGGTGGAAAACAGTATTTTTTTTCCTTAATGTTGAATGACTTTCAAGTTTAATAATTCGAGTTGATGTAATGGTCTCTTCTATCCTGTTACTCCCAGACTCTTAATTGAATACTGTTTTTGACTTGGTGCAGCAGCTTAGTTTATTCTTCTCTGCAAAGGCATTTGAAGGGATGAAACTGTGGAGTAATCTTAAAACAGTTAAGTGAGGAATCCACCAAAAGACTCCTGTACCTCAACACAGAGGAGTTAATTTAAAAACAATTTGAAGTTAACCAGCAGCGAGGTGTGGTGACTAGCTTATTGTAACTAAATGGACAGTGGGATGTGGTTTTTTTTTTTTCTTTTCTTTTTTTGTACAGAACTAATCAAATCATTAGTGCCTGATGTCTGATTATATATAAAGCCACAGGAAGCTAGCCTATAACACTTCCTATAAAGGTAAAAATGTTCAGCTTTATCTAGAACTCCAGTGTTCAGCTTACTTTTTGTAAATATAATCTCATGTTAAAATGACCTTGTAGACATTCCCTTTGTAGTAGAAATACACCCCATGTGTTAGCAAAATTATAGCATAGGTATGTTGTGAGGTGCAAACTGAAATACACCAGTGCAACCCCCCTCCTCTAAAATATGGGGAACAAATTCTGGGGCAACAGCTACTTAAAAACAAAACAAAAAAAACTTAGTTGCATCCATTTAACAGGCAGTCCTAATTCATGTGTCAGTGTTTTATGATTAAGTTGAACTTCTTTTTGTTGAAGAACCTCACAATAAAGTGGTGTACTTTGTATTATAGGTATGTGCTTGTTGGATCAATTCATACTAATGTAAGGTGACCTGCTCTTTTCAAAAAGCAGGAGTGGCATTTGGGTGATCATTGCTAATATAATGGGAAATGAGCCGCATCTTTTTGAAGGAGGGGTTCAGGCAAAACATTTCCTTGAATGAGACTGCATAAGTGAACTCATTTATTCCTAAATGTTAAGATGCCTGCTAAATAATGCAATCCAAAACCTACTGTTAATATACAGTAATAAAGTATTGCAAAACCAACTTTGGGCTATACCATTAAGTTTTTGTTCTGCTAAATGACTACAGTGGACTTCATTCCATTTATGGTTTCTGTGAGTGCTAAAACTTGAGGGGAAGGGGCTTAACTATGGCCTTGCCAGAAGAGACATGGAGAACATCAGAATGTCCCTTTCAACCTGAAGAATCTTGATTCCATTCAGTGGAGTCAGCAGGGCTCCCAGGAACTTGCATATTACAGTACCGTGCAAGCCTGTCATGCTTAAGTGCAACTGAACTAGTATTTCCACTTGATCTATGCTCCCTGTAACAACGCTGCTAGGAATAAAGCTTATTTGATGTATTGCCAAACAGCACTTCCTCCAAATCCAAGGCACCTAGTCTGAGCCACTATTCTGTTGGTAGAACCTGGAAACTACTACAGCCTTCAGATAACAGCCAGAACTCAATTCTCTAGCTACATCCAGGCTATGCTCTTTCCTCCTTTGCAGTGTCATGTGGCAGAAGTCAGAGAGTCATTCTTTATCCCATCAAATTGGGAGGGGTCTGATTTACAACTGCTTTCCCATGAAGGTGTCCTTTTCTTGAAACATTGGGAGTCAGGAATGCTGGACTACATAATCCACAGCAGAGGGGAAGTGCTTGTTTCACTGAGGATTGCTCATTCCATTACAGACTTCCTCCTGGCTGCCTCCTGCAGAAACTGCAACATCAGTCATCTACTCCTGCAGTCACTTGTGCCTGATCTCCCTCAAACTGAAGGAGTGGATCAGTCCGACATCTTTCCAAAACCTTGCAGTTCTTTCCTAATACTGACTTGTTCCCTACCCAACTGTAAGATGAAATTCCTATTAATATCCCCACCTTTCTAAACTACTGGACAGCTTCTCTTCTGTTCTTATGTCCGAGATATATCAATGTGGTGTATTTTTCATTTGTTCTCTTAATGCTGTCCTTGCCCCCATCCCCAGAGATTTAAGTGATATAGAAGACTTGCCATGAACTTGCAGCCATTGTCTAAGCATCTCTAATAAGCAAAACTTGTTACCAATGGGTCAAACAGTCTCCTTTAAAATGGATGGTAACTGTATCTTTGCTCCATCCTTTGCACTTTAAGTATTTGGCAATTGTATAATGGTGTGAAAGCAAGACAAGGGATCCTTATGATTTCTATTCAGAGCCTTAGAGTTAACCTTAGCTGAGGTTTGTTTGTTTGTTTGTATGTAATTATTATTATTATTGTTATTATTATTATTATTTTGTTTTAATCACCCTCCACTTCTGGTGTTCACAGCAGGGCAAGATGCAGGAAGTCTCTAGTTAATTATTCCACTAAACCAGGGGTATGTGTACCCCTGAGTACTTGGGGAAGGCTCTAGTGGGTGAGGGGCATGAGGACAGTGGTGCCCAGCTACAGGCCACTCAGGTGCTGCCTGGCTGGCCAGATGTGGAGTGGGGAGCTAGTGCAAAGGTTGACAACCCCTAGCATTGACTGACCACAGGCACTGATTTTGCAATTAGTCTATAGAGGTATATGATCTTGGGTGTGGTAACTTACCTGCCACACTCCACTTCATAAATTTATCTTACAAAGGAGTAAGTTTCTCAGATGTTTCAAAATAAAAGCTGTTCCTTCCTCCCACAATTGTACAAATCTGCATTAAAACAAACTTTACTGCTGACCCGTCTCTCCACAAGAAGGGGTGGATTCAATATGTATTTATTTGGAATATAGCTGCCTTGTGCCTTATGGGGCAATTTATTTAAAGGCAGTGGAACAGTAAGATGCTAATAGCTATTGGTTGGTTCCAGCCTGCTTACAAATACACATGCATCTATGTGTATTCTATATGTATATATGTAACAAGCTGCTTTGGACTAATATAAGTAGCTGAAGTTATTGTTGCAGCTGGCTATAAAGGTACCTACACAGAGTAAACCATTCCTTTTCTTGCTACTTGTGTAAGATGCAACAGTGTGGGTGAAGCACTGCTAACTTTGGTCGTATTTTCACTAGACTATCGATCAATAGAAGAATGGATGGCTGTAGGGTTACGACTAGAAATGGGTTAAATATATTTTGGCCACAAGTCTGTATTTTAATTCAATAGAAATAATTGTGTCACACCTTCATTACTTTTCAGTCAGAAAAAAAACATTTTAAAGGTTTAGGGGCTTTTGGCATTCCTTTTGGAATTGATCTTAAGGAGGCACAACCCCTTTCCTTCCCTCTCTTCCCCCCCACCCCCCCAAATAAAATTCTATAGGACATGAAACAAACATTTGTTCAGCTGACATCCAAAGAGAAGCTCCCTCTTTTCCTGTCCACTTTTCAATTCAGAAATTTGAGAAGGAAAACTTTCCCATCAAATTAATAGTTGGAAAGAAGGTGGATGAAAAAATGATGGATCCCTATACACCTTTGTATAAAAGCTGAGAATTCCAGTTGCCTGGCTTCTAAATAGCCTCAAATAAAACTTGGTTATGCTTGTCTTATAGCTCTAAAGTTAAAACAGGGAGGAAGCAAAACTATGTGAGGCCCTTTCAGGTTATGAAATGAGAGAGAGCCAATGCTTGGTTGTTGTGCAGGCTGTCTTTAAGGCCTCAGAACACCAAAGCTTGTGCAACCAGTTCAAGATGGACACTGCTTCATGCTGCTGCAACAGGGTTCTCAGTGTTGCCTTCTGCTGATGCTCTCTCCTCTGTCAATTCCATTTCAGCTCAGCAATTTTCATAAACAGTGGCCTAATCCAAGATTGCATCTAGGCATGGTTTTCATGATCAGCATCTCCCACCATGGTACCTGGTTCACTGAAAAGTATAAATCAGTTTTGAGGCAGGGTGGGGGGTGTTCCCATCCCTTACTACATACGTGGGGTACAATATGCTAATTTCATTTGTGTATCATGGGGGTAATGTTATGGATGAGTACAACTTAAAGGAGACAGGCAGGAGAAAAAAAAGGTAGTGGTGGTGCTCCATGTATGAGATCAGTGCTCAGTAGAAAGTAGGTCTGGTGAAAGCTCTTCAGTCAGTGTCAAAGCAGAGACCAACAGGTCTCATGCAAGGTGTCTACTACAGACCAGGAGGACGCAGCCGATGAGGCTTTTTCAAACAACTAAAAGTTTCCAAATGGAAGGCTCTGGTTCCCATGGGGGTCTTTAAATTACATTTTTTGGGAAGGAAACAGCAGTGCACAGACTGTCCATTCAGTTGTGTGCTAAGGATAACTTTTTTTTACAGGTGGTGAGGAGGCTAACTAAGAGGAAGGAGCTCCTCAATTTGCTGTTCACAAACAGGTAGTTGAGAATGAAGGCACAAAAGTTAGCAGTGACCATGAAACAGTAAGAGTTCAAGATCTGAAGGAAAGCGGCTAAAAAGCAGACCTTAAACTCAGAGAACTGTTGGGTAGGATCCTTTGGAAGGCAAGTCTGAGGGGAGAAGGCACACAGGAGAGTTGGATGTACTTAAAGGAGGGCCATGTTAAGGGGCCAAGAGCAAGCTATTCTGATGCAAAAAAAGGACAGGAAGTGCAGCAGAAGACCGACCACCTAAAGAGTGAATTTTTCAATTAGTAGCGACTCAAATCCCACCAAAAAGTGGACACTTGGCTGTATTATTAGAGAAGAGTCTAAGTGTACTGTGTGGGCTTGAAAGAAGA